ACTTAGTGCGCCGTGCCGGCAGCACTTGCCTCAAAAGTCGGTGAAGGCTCTAAAGAGGATATTTGTCTTTGTAACATCACAAGACCGGCTATGCTTTTTTTTTGGGGGGGGGGGGGGTGGTAATGGGGGACCTTATCGAGCAGTAGATAGATTGTAGATGCTGCTGCCGCTGCTGATGATGACGATGATGACTTATGAAACAGCACAAAATGAAAATGCGTGATGTGAAATCATCAAACAAACTGCCTGGACTGCTCCTGGCTCTGTAAGGGAGGGTCTGGGGTGTCCGAGTGGTTGATTACGCAACTGTCAGGATCGTGAATGTCACGGCGCGTCTGTGAAGGCCGCGAGTGGGAGCTGTCACGGTTCAGCACGTGTCGATGCGTTCACGGGACTTGGTATTTGCCTGAAGGGTAGTTTTAACAAGTTGTTTGACGCGATTTCGAGCCTCGAGTGAATTTTTTTTTTGACACCGACTCAGTTGAGAAGCTCAAGATGCCGGGGCAGAATCTCGTTTTGGTTTGCAAGGGGCGAGTGGCCGACGAGTCAGCGGGTGAATGAGTGAAATTAGTGGGTGGGTGAATGAATGAATGAGAGATTGCGCGTGCGTGAGTGAGTTTCACTTTGTAAGCTTATGTTGTGTAACCAGATGAGATCTAAAGAGACCAGAAAAAGCCTCATTTTCAGGTAGCGAGTTCCACGTGGTACCGTGATACACGTGGTTACGAATCCCACGTTTTAGCGAGTTCCACGTGGTACCGTAATCCAGGTGGCAGTGAGTTCCACGTGGTAACGAGTTTTAATTTGACAGCGAGAAACACACGGAGTGTGCGCACTGGATTGTCGACGGTACTTCGTGCGTCCGTGTCTGCGCAACTTTATTCAGAGTTGAAAGTTCTGCGCGTCGAGTGATCCTTGGACATCTCTGAAGTTGTGATCTTTCATCTTGTCAGTGTTAATGTTTCACTAGTTGACGGAAGCGTTCGAAGAGTCCAGTGATTGACAGGTAATGCTTTTGACGTTATTGTTGTCGTTGCATTACTGTCGTTCGGGACGAACACATGTGTAATTTGCTATTGAAATTAAACAAATTAAGTTAATGAATCACCATGACGATGATGATCATCATCCATCAGTCACAGTCATGCTGATTATAGCATCATGATCATCAATTATCATCACCAACATCATCATCACCATGCACCATCAGTCAACGTCAGCTTTCACCATCAATAATAAACATCTAGTTTAACACGTAGGCTTTCGCGACCGATATTATTCATAATAAACGTTTCTGGGTTAGATCGCGTTATTTATAAATGTGCCGTAACCCTCCACCACCCGACACGGCCAATCAGTAAAAAAAGTGTCACGTTGACAAAAGACAAATAGTTCACTACTTGAGTCCACCGGTGTGTTGAAGAGTGAATCCACAACATTATTAAATGTGACGTTATTGTTGTCGTTGCATTACTGTCATTCGGGATGAACAATTTTTTAATGTTGTGGATTCACTCTTCAACACACCGGTGGGCTCAAGTAGTGAACTATTTGTCTTTTGAGAACGTGACACTTTTTTACTGATTGGCCGTGTCGGGTGGTGGAGGGTTACGACACATGTATAAATAACGCGATCTAACCAAAACACGTTTATTATGAATAAACCATTTGATGCTCGATCACCATTACTCTAAGGTCGGTACAATCACACGGATGCCAACGACATCACTAACAACATAATACATTCAGAGAAGAGTTTAAATCCAACCCAGTTTAATATTTTCACCACCACCGCCACCACCCACGGGCATCATGAGAAAGTTCGCCCATCGATCATACCAACCAGCAGTCATCACCAATAATTTTTAGCAGCAAGCAAAAAAAACAATGATCATAACCATCGACCACATCTCCTCTGTTAAAAACCATACCCCCATCAGCAACATAGCACAAAGCGAATTCAGTATTAAAATACAATCCCGGCGTAGTTATTTAACCAACTCACACACACACACACCTGTGCGCATTCGTGATGGACTGGAGTGCGCGAGACCAACTGGTCTCAATGACTCGAACTGACTTACCACCACCACCTCCTCCATCATCACCACCACCACCTCCACCACCACCATTACTTCCACAACCACCTCCACCACCACCACCACCACCACCACCACCACCTCCACCACCTCCACCACCACCATCACTTCCAACATACTCTTAGTTCTTTCGGTAAAGACACGTAGGTAAAAAAAATGAAATTAAAATTAATAAAAATAAAATAATAGTGATTTTATTATTTAATTTTTATTTCATTTTTTTTACCTACATGACTTTACCGAAAGAACTAAGAGTATGAATCCTTGCAGTCAAGAAAGCTTGAAATCTAGAATCACTTCCACAACCAAAGGTAAACATCCTCCGTGTAGCTTTAAATAGTCTGTTGGGGGACAAGTGTTGTTAGCGAGTTTCACAACGACTGGAATGGGGGTGGCCAAAACCACGCACAGCCCCGGCCGCAGCAGGTACTCGCGTTGAAGGCTGAGTGGACCTAGTGGAGGCCCAGAGCCGGTTGAAATATTCGCCACTGTAATTGGCGGTGATCTGGAATAGAACTCGGGTCGCCGAGTTCATAGCGTAGTGCGCTAACTCACAACTTGCACCACCACCACCACCACCGTGATTAACATGATAACAATCATCATCATCAGCATGCATCAGTCACAGTCAGCATGATAATCATTATTATCATGCTTCGATCAAATCATCACCATATAATTACGAGCAGCCATCGAGAGAGAATTGAATCATCAGCATCATCATGATCAGCATCCTCAACCAAATATCTGTAAAAAAACAAACAAACTCGTATCCATCGGCAACATAGGGCAGTCATTTCAGTATTAAAATACAGCCCCAGAGAAATAGAACCTCCCAAAGACAAAGATGCCCCATACAAGCTTGACAGACTGTTGGGGCAAGTGCTGTTTGCGAGTAAGCACATATGAAGGCCCACACGGCGCACGAGGGGGTGGGTGGCCAACGCCACGCCCGGCCGCCTTTGTCTCCCCAGAGGCGATGTTTACACATGGCACAATGCTGAGTTGACATTGGGGAGGCCCAGGGTACCGGGTCAGACATTCGCCATTGGGTACCTTGAGCGGGAATCGAACTTGAGTGGACAAGGTCCATGGCGCAGCACGATGACTGTAACAGTTACCGCTCCCCACTCTGTGACCACTGCCAGTCATCATCATCATCATCCGTGAATCATATCACTACCAAGGATCATGAACGACACAGAGTGATCTTCTGCTCACAGCCCTGCAGAGCCAGTGGTGGAAATTCCACGTTGCTATGGCGAGAGCAAGTCGAGAATATCCATCCGTAGGTCAACCACACACAAGTGTTGTTCGCTCAACAACACAGCACAGTTAATTCCGCATTAAAATCCATCACCTGCACCACCACCACTACGACCTACACCACCACCATCATCACCTGCACCACCACCATCTACACCACTACGACCTGCACCACCACCTGTGCCATCACCACCTGCACCACCACTGATCCACGTCACATCCACAACGTGAATAACCAGACCAGATTCATGTCTGGGGGGTGGGGAGTAGGTTTGCATGTGTGGGTATCGGTATGGGTCTCGGTGTTTGGTTGTTGATGTAGGCGTCGGGGAGAGGGGTGGGGCGAGGGGCGGGGCCGGCGTTAGTGGGGGGCGCTGTGCATCATCACTGCCATGGCCCCCCCCTGCCCCCCACACGCCCTCCGCCCCCCATTCGAGAAGCGCCCAAGCCAGATCTGTGTGTGTGGGTTAGTGTGTGTGTGTTAGTGTGTGTGTTAGTGTGCGTGTGTTAGTGTGTGTGTTAGTGTAGCGCGCTACGAACCCGGCGACCCGAGTTCGATTCCCGCTCACGGCCAACACCGGTGACGATTATCTCAACCGGTCCTGGGCCTCCCCTAGGTCAACTCAGCCTTAAATGGGTACCTGATGCGGTGTGTTAACATCGCCACTGGGGAGACAAAGGCGGCCGGGCGTGGTGCTGGCCACCCACCCCCTCATGTGCCGTGCCGGCCTTCATTAGGTGCTCGCTAACAGCACTTGCCCCAAAACATTCCGTCAAGGCTATACGGGGGGATATGTGTCTTTGTGTAGGTGTTCGCAAACAGCACTTGCCCCAAGGAGCTGTCTATACGGGGGGACCTTTGTCTTTGCGTGGAGCGTCGGCACGGCGCTTGGCGCCCTGCGCCACGAACCCGCGAGCCCGAGGTTCGATATCGGCTCGCGGTGCGGCGAACATTTGAACCGGGTCCTGGGTCCCAAGAGACCACGCGGCGCTGACCGCCAACACGAAGCACCACCACCACGCCGCGTCGCCACGCGCCGTAGCGGCCTTCGCAGGCAATCCTCACTCACAGCACCTTGACCCCCCCCGCCTCTAGCAGTCTCTTAAAAGGCAACACGGGGGAGTGGGGGAGGGTAGTGGGGGGGGGGAATGGGGGGGGGAATGGGGGAGTGTGGGGGGGGGGAGTGGGGGAGAGTGGGGGGGGGGGAGTGGGGGGGGGAGTGGGGGGTGGAAGTGGGGGGGGGGTGGAGGGAGAGTGGGGGGGGGGAGTGGAGGGAGAGTGGGGGGGAGAGTGGGGGGGGGGAGAGTGGTTGGGGGAGAGTGGGGAGGGGGAGAGTGGGGGGGGGGAGAGCGGGGGGGGGGGAGAAGGGGGGGAGAGTGGGGGGGGAGTGGTGGGGAGAGTGTGGGGGGGTGAGAGTGGGGGGGGGGGTGAGAGTGGGGGGGGGGGGGGGTGAGAGTGTGGGGAGGGGAGAGTGGGGGGGGAGTGGTGGGGAGAGTGTGGGGGGGTGAGAGTGGGGGGGGGGTGAGAGTGGGGGGGGGGTGAGAGTGTGGGGGGGTGAGAGTGGGGGGGGGTGAGAGTGGGGGGGGGGTGAGAGTGGGGGGAGGGTGAGAGTGTGGGGGGGTGAGAGTGGGGGGGGAGGACGAAGTGGGGGGGGGGGGAAGTGGGGGGGGTGTGAGAATCTTTGCCTTCCTCTCCGTCCGTTCTCCTGCTTCGCATCATCTGGGGGGGCAGCAATACTCGCTGGGCAGGGGCCCGTGGCCCCCCGAGAGCAGAGCGTCATTGACCACGCGGATGTAGCCGTCGATGGCGGCCCGCATCGGCGCCGTGAAGGGGTCCCAGGCCAACTTGCGGCGTCCCGAGCGCTTGAAGCTGCCGTCCCTGTGCGCCTCCGTGCACAGCAGCCGCTCCTCCAGCAGCGCCGCCGCCGCCGCCGCTGACGACGACTCCGCGGACGAGGGCGTCGATGAGGATGACGAGGATGATGATGGAGGAGGAAGAGGCGACGGCGGCGCTGTTGGTGACGATTGAGACTGGGGTGAAGATGACGACGACGATGATGATGATGACGACGGTGTGGTGGAGTTGGAGTAGACAGCGGGCTGCTGCTGCTCCTGATGCTGCTGGTGCTGCTGGAGCTGCCGCTGCTGCTGATGGTGCTGGAGCTGGTGCTCCTGCTGCTGCTGCTGGAGCTGCTGCTGCTGGTGGTGCTGGTGGTTGAGCTGCTGGTTGTGTCGCTGCTGCCGCTGCTGCTGCCGCTGCTGCTGTTGCTGGCGGCGGTGGTGGTGGTGGTGATGCTGCGGCGTCTGCGGCGGCTGCGTGGCGAGAGGCGGCGCGCCCAGGAAGGCCACCATGCGCCGCATCTCGGCGTGGAGCTCCCCGCGCAGCCGCTCGTAGTGCACCACGAGGAGGCGGCGGCGGGGGCCGTAGCGCAGCCAGTCGAGGGCGTGGGACACCCACCAGGGCGCGTAGCTGTGCACGAAGTCCGGCCACTCTGCGCGCGGGGGGGCGGGGGGGCAGGAGAGGGGGGGGGAGGAGGGGGATAAAGGGGGGGAGGGGGGAGAAGGGGGATAGACGGGGGGGGGGTGACGAGTTGAAGAATTGAAGGGAGGAGGGGATTTGGAAGAGGGAGGAAAGATGTAGGGGGTGATGAGAGTGGGGGGAGGATGAAGAATGATAATGGGGGGGGGGGGGGGGGGCGTGGGGACAGGGGAGGGGGGAGGAGGGAGATAGACGGGGGGGTGACGAGTTGAATTGAAGGGAGGAGAGGATTTGGAAGAGGGAGGAAATATGTAGGGTGGGGGTGATGGGAATAGGGAGAGGATGAAGAATGATAATGGGGGGGGGGGGGCGGGGGGTAATGGGGAGGGGGTGGTGGGGGAGAGGGAGGGATGGTGGAGGCGGGGCAGTGATGAGTCGAAGAATTGAGGGGATGAGGGAATGGGAGAGTGGTTGGTGAGGAATGATGAGGGATGAGGTGAGGGAGTGAGTCACTCCAGGAGTTGATGGGATAGGGTGGAGGAGGGGGCAGGTAAGGGGTGGGTGAGCGGGGTAATGGAAGAGGTGAAAAGACAGGCGAGTGGGGGGAGGGGGTGGGGTGAGTGAAGTGAGGTCAGAATCAACGCCAATCGACAAATCGATGAATCTTCACAGCCCCCCCCCACCTCCACCACCATCTCTTCCACCACCCACCTTTCCCCCTCCACCTCTTCTCGGAGGCGTAGCCCAGGTGTCCCCCGTACTTGCGGTTGAACTCGGCGACGAGGGCTCGGTAGGGGTTGCGCACGAGCAGGATGGCCGAGTCGAACGCCTCGATCTCTCGCCGCCCGCTCTCGTGCGTCTTCACGCAGAGCGTGCGCCCGCTGCGCCAGTGATCCTTCTCTCCCTTGAAGCCTGGGGGGGTGGGTGGGGGGGGTGGGGGGGTGGGGGAGGTGGGGGGGGGCAGGGTAGCGGGGGAGGTGGGGGGGGATGGCGGGGGGAGGTGGGGGGGGTGGGCAGGGTAGCGGGGGAGGTGGGCGGGGGTGGGCAGGGTAGCGGGGGAGGTGGGGGGGGATGGCAGGGGGAGGTGGGGGGGTGGTGGGGCGGGGGAGGTGGGGGTGGGTAATGGGGAGGGGATGTTAGAGTTTAGGTGGCCGTGAGCGGGAATCGAACTCGGCTCTCTGGCGGGTTCGTAGCGCTCCACAGTGGCTCAGAGATGTTGACTACCTCGCCTGGTGTACAGGAGGTCGTGGGTTCGATCTCGACCCTGACGCCTGCTGCTGCTGTAGATTTGGAGATTGCGGTGTCTCTCTCCCCGTGGTCGCGTGGAATTTTTCTCCGGGTCCTCCGGGTTCTTCCCCTTCCCATTTGGAATCAACATCGCGCGTGGCTATGCATGTCCACACATGACGATAAGCCACTGCGTTGAGCTATCATTCGTGAAAGCCCCGTTGCTTGTCAAACAGAGCTAATTGGCAGCTTAGTGGGACCCTTACATGGCAAAATAAAAAAAAAACACTTTCGTTTTATATTCTTATTTTTTTCGGTAAAGTCACGTAGGTAAAACAATGAAATTAAAATTAATAAAAATAATAAAAATCACGACGTTTCGGAGGCAACACAAGTCTCCGTCATCAGGTGGGACCGTCACAGCCAGATTTGCAGCAAATCTGTCTGTGCCTCCGAAACGTCGTGATTTTTATTATTTTTATTAATTTTAATTTCATTGTTTTACCTACGTGACTTTACCGAAAAAACTGAGAGTATGAATCCTCGCAGTCACGAAAGCTTCAAATCTAGAATTTTGTATTATAGTTTTAATCCACGCTCCGGCTCCCCACCACTCGCCCCGACGCACCCTTGTTGTAGAGAGAGCCGTCGAAGTAGAAGCTGCCCGTGTAGTAGCCCGTGGCGAGCTCCAGCAGGTGACGGGTCCACGTGTTGCCGGCTCCGGGGAAGCTGGCGAGGGCCGTGAGTCTGCGGCCTCGCGCAGGCAGGAAGCGCTTCTCCACGCAGCGCTTGTCTGTGTGCGTACAACAGCCACCACCACCATAAACACCCACCACCACCATAAACACCCACCACCACCAACACACACCCACCACCACCACCATAACTACCATAACCACCCAAAACCACCACCACCCACCACCATACACACCCATCACCAACACCACCAACCATCATAAACACCCATCACCAGAAACACCCACCACGACCAATCACGTCACCACCACCCACCACCACGACCACCGTCACTGCCACCCACCACCACCAAACACGCTACCACCACCCACCACCACCAACCACGTAACCACCACCCACCACCACCACCACCACCCACCACCACCAACCATGCCACCACCCACCACCACCACTAACCACTAACCACGTAACCACCACCACCCACACGGACCCGCAGGCCACACGGCAGCAGCGCAGACACGTGGGTTCATCATCATCAACATCATCATCAACATCATCATCAACATCATCATCAACATCATCATCAACATCATCATCAACATCATCATCATCAACATCATCATCAACATCATCATCAACATCATCATCAACATCATCATCAACATCATCATCAACATCATCATCAACATCATCATCAACATCATCATCAACATCATCATCAACATCATCAATCATCATCAATCATCATCATCATCATCAATCATCATCATCAATCATCTTCATCATCGTTATCGTCATCATCATCATCAATCATCATCATCAATCATCATCATCAATCATCATCATCAACATCATCATCAACATCATCATCAACATCATCATCAACATCATCATCAACATCATCATCAACATCATCATCAACATCATCATCATCAACATCATCATCAATCATCATCATCAATCATCTTCATCATCGTTATCGTCATCATCATCATCAATCATCATCATCAATCATCATCATCACCATCATCACGATCATCATCATCATCGTCGTCGTTGTTGTTACTCGCAGCCCGCACGTTCCTTTCAACGTGACCATCCATCCGTGCTTCCCTCCCCACACTCCAGCCAGCCAGACAGCCTGCAACACTTTTATTTTCTCCAATAGATGATCAATAAAGAGCGCACAGCCGGTGCAGCAAGTCCACCTCCACCCACCCAGCAGTTCCGCAAAGGTAGCCCACCAACCCGGAGGAGTGCACTGGATTCTCCTGCCAATTCCTTGCACCAGAGCCAATGACCAATAGACTCACTCTGAGATCCATAGACTCGCATAGCGATCCATAGACTCACACAGAGACGCATAGACTCACACTGAGATCCATAGACTCACACATAGATCCATAGACTCACACAGAGATCCATAGACTCACAATGAGACCCATAGACTCACACTGATATCCATAGACTCACTCTGATATCCATAGACTCACTCTGAGATCCATAGACTCACTCTGAGATCCATAGACTCACTCTGGGATCCACAGACTCACACAGAGACCCATAGACTCACACAGAGACCCATATACTCACTCTGAGATCCATAGACTCACACTGAGATCCACAGACTCACACTGAGATCCATAGACTCACACAGAGATCCACAGACTCACACTGAGATCCACAGACTCACACTGACATCCATATACTGTACTCGCTGTGAGATCCATAGACTCGCGTAGGGATCCATAGAGACTCGCAGAAGCATATATTTATCGACGACATTACATGGAGATCGGTTCATATATAGTATTAGTTTATTGATATTGTTCGTTAGTGGGAATCGAACTTGGGAAGCTGGGTTGGTAGTGCATTGCGCTAACCACTGCACTATCCGTCACACACACACACATCACAATAAAGACAAATACCCTCCCCCCCACAGCTTTCCACAAACTGTCTGGGTAACAATAAAAAAAACAAGACGAAGAACCCCCGTATAGCCTTGATATACGTTTGGGGCAAGTGCGGTTAGCGAGCACCTATGAAGACTGGAACGGCACATGAGGGGGTGGGTGGCCAGCACCACGCCATACCGCTTTTGTCTCCCTGGTGGCGATGTTTACCACACACCGCAACAGGTACTCAATTTGAGGCTGAGTCTACCTAGGGGAGGCACAGGCCCGTTTCAGATAATCGTCGCCGGTGTTGTCCGTGAGCGGGAATAGAACCCGGTTGGCCAGGTTCGTAGCGCAGCGTAGCACTAACCACTACGCTACCGCTCCCCACAGACAAAGACAAAGATCCCCTGTATAGCCTTAACAGACTGTAGGGGCAAGTGCTGTTAGCGAGCACCTATGAAGGCCAGCACGGCACACGAGGGGGTGGGTGGCCAACACCACGCCCGGCCGCCTTTGTCTCCCCAGTGGCGATGTTTGCACATCGCACCAGGTACTCATTTGCGGCTGAGTCGACCTAGGGGAGGCCCAGGACCGGTTTAGATAATCGTCACTGGGTGTTGGCCATGAGCGGGAATCGAACCCGGGTCCCCACAGACACACGCACACAGACGAACACGTGCAGCTGTCCATCGCAATATATATTTGGGGGGGTGAAAAAAACTTCCCTTCACATTTCAAAACATGCGCCCGAATTTGCATACAAATTCAATAGCCCTCCCCCCTCCACCACCATCACCACCACCCCCTCCACAACCCCCCTCCCCAAAACGCCACCCAGTTGCACGAGTTCTGACCGCAAGAAAAACAACACGAGATCACACAGAGAGAGCGAGAATAATTTCTCTCGGTTTAACAGTGGCAAACATTTGCATATTTGCCAAACGGCGACTCCAACCCCGCGGTACATGATGCATATTCTCAGCCGATAAACAATATACAAAACGGCTACTTTTCTATATATTACCGTGACTTTCGTTTACCCAACAAAGACTTTAGTGAGTCTCAAGACTCTTTTCCAGGAGGGTCGAGATGTTTACTCCATCGCCTGGTATGCAGGAGGTCGTGGCTTCGATCCCGACCCTGACACCTGCTGCTGTATATTTGAAGTTTGCGTGTCTCTCTTTCATCATCATCACCACGGTGGCTTGGAGATGTTAACTACCTCGCCTGGTATGCAGGAGGTCGTGGGTTCGATCCCGACCCTGACGCCTGCTGCTGTATATTTGGAGTTTGCGTTTCTCTCTCTCTCATAATAATCATCACGGTGGCTTGGAGATGTTAACTACCTCGCCTGGTATACAGGAGGGCGTGGCTTCGATCCCGACCCTGACGCCTGCTGCTGTATATTTGGAGTTTGCGTGTCTCTCTCTCATCATCATCACGGTGGCTTGGAGATGTTAACTACCTCGCCTGGTATACAGGAGGTCGTGGCTTCTATCCCGACCCTGACGCCTGCTGCTGTATATTTGGAGTTTGTGTGTCTCTCTCACTCTCCCCGTGGACACGTCGAGTTTTCTCCCAGGCCAACCTGTTCCCCCCCCCCCCTCCACATTTAGAGTCAACATCACTCGTATCTGGCTGCTGCTGTACATGTCCACGTGTTGGCGAGCCACTTCTTTGAGCTATTATTTGCGATAGCCAGGTAGATTTCGATTTAAAGCTTTCGTGACTGCAGGGATTCATCTTCGTGGTTCTTTCGGTAAAGTCACGTAGAAGGGAAATAATAAAATAATACAAATAAAACATAATAAAATAATTCTCACGACGTTTCGGCCACAACGCAAGCAGTCGTCTTCAGGTGGAGAACAGGGCTGTCGAGAAGGCAGCCTCTGCTTGCGTTGTGGCCGAAACGTCGTGAGATTTATGTTATTATGTTTTATTTTTATTATTTTATTATTTTCCTTCTACGTGACTTTACCGAAAGAACCAAGAAGAAGGACAGTGCATATTATTATCATTATCAGAGTTGCTTCTTTTTGTTTGCTTTTTTGACTACTTGTGTTGTGGTTATTGCAAACATGATGCCTTGAATAAAGGTGTCAGTCTTGTACCAGTTTAAAAGGGTAAAACCCTACTACTAAACCAAGAAGATGATAGCCAGCTAGCTTCTGAACACGAGCTACATAGCTTCGTGGGGCTCTTACCTGGCAGAATACCAAAACAAATTGCTGCAGTTGAGAGTGGAGGGATGTTCAGCTTCTGTGCGGCTTATCCTAATTGAGTAATTTGCTGCTACTATTGTGTTTGAACACAGGCCACCCGAACTCGATTGCCCGCTCACGGTCAATACGAGTGTTTGAACGGGTTCTGGGCTTCCCCTAGGTCGACTCAGCCTCAACCGAGTACTTTGTGCGGTGTGTAAACATCGCCACTAGGGAGACAAAGGCTGCTGAACGTGGTTGCTGGCCATCCACCCCCTCGTGTGCCGTGCAGGCCTTCATTGGTCGGTCGCTAACAGCACTTGCCCCAACAGTCTGTTAAAGGCTATATGGAGGATCTTTGTCTGTATGTGTATACGTATGTGCGTCTGTCTGTGTGCACGTGTGTGTGTCTGTCTGTGTGCACGAGTGTGTCTGTCTGTGTGCATGTGTGTGTGTGTGTCTGTCTGTGTGCACGTGTGTGTCTGTCTGTGTGCACGTGTGTGTCTGTCTGTGTGCACGAATGTGTCTGTCTGTGTGCACAAGTCTGTCTGTCTGTGTGCACGTGTGTGTGTCTGTTTGTGTGCACGAGTGTGTCTGTCTGTGTGCATGTGCGTGTGTGTGTCTGTCTGTGTGCACGAGTGTGTCTGTCTATGTGCACGAGTCTGTCTGTCTGTGTTCACGTGTGTATATGTCTGTGTGCACGTGTGTGTGTGTCTGTCTGTGTGCACGTGTGTGTGTCTGTCTGTGTGCACGAGTGTGTCTGTCTGTGTGCATGTGTGTGTGTGTGTCTGTCTGTGTGCACGTGTGAGTCTGTCTGTGTGCACGTGTGTGTCTGTCTGTGTGCACGAATGTGTCTGTCTGTGTGCACAAGTCTGTCTGTCTGTGTGCACGTGTGTGTGTCTGTTTGTGTGCACGAGTGTGTCTGTCTGTGTGCATGTGCGTGTGTGTGTCTGTCTGTGTGCACGAGTGTGTCTGTCTATGTGCACGAGTCTGTCTGTCTGTGTTCACGTGTGTATATGTCTGTGTGCACGTGTGTGTGTGTCTGTCTGTGTGCACGTGTGTGTGTCTGTCTGTGTGCACGCGTGGATCTGTCTGTCCGTGTGCACGCGAGTCTCTGTGTCCCTGCGTCTATAAATAGAGGGGAGTATCGGTTAGTGTCGGCTAACGCCGCTGCGCATACAGATCCCTGAGTGTGTGAGAGCTGGGGGTGAATGCAGATCGTGGGGGGCGGTGTGGGGGAGGGAGTTGTGGGGGGCTCACTTCTGGATTAACTCTGGAGGCCACGAAGCATCAGCAGTGTCACAGCGAACGTGTCCCCGGCTAATGCGTGCACACTTCATGTCAACACAAACACGCGTTGCACACACACACACATACACAAGGACAAAGATTCCCCCGTATAGCCTTCCATCGACTGATGGGGCAAGTGCTGCTCCAAAGCGCGCACCTATACGGAGGTCGGCACGGCCACATGAAGGGGTCGGGGTAGCCAGCAGCACGCCCAGTGGCGGCGTCTTGGTTGGAACTCGGGTGACGCACACTCGCACACGCACGCACACACGCACACGCACGCACACACGCGCGCACGCGCACACAATCGCGCACGCAGACACACGCACGCACACGCACGCACATGGACGCACACGCACGCACGCACACGCACGCACGCACACACACACGCACGCACACACGCACGCACATGGACGCACACACGCACACACGCACGCACACACACACACACGCACACACACACACGCACACACACGCCAACATCCTTTCGTGATGGGAAGTTCATAATTTGTTTGATATTTAAATCAATAAATAAGACGAGGAGGCCACTCCCGCAGACGGGTGCGGTGTGTGTGTGCGTGTGTGGTGTGTGTGTGCGTGTGTGGTGTGTGTGTGCGTGTGTGTGCGTGTGTGTGTGTGCGTGTGTGTGCGTGTGTGCGCGTGTGTGCGGTGTGTGTGTGCGTGTGTGTACGCGTGTGTGCGTGCGTGTGTGCGCGTGTGTGTGTGCGTGTGTGCGTGTGTGTGCGTGTGTGCGCGTGTGTGCGTGTGTGGTGTGTGTGTGCGTGTGTGGTGTGTGTGTGCGTGTGTGGTGTGTGGTGTGTGTGTGCGTGTGTGGTGTGTGTGTGCGTGTGTGGTGTGTGTGTGCGTGTGTGTGCGCGTGTGTGCGTGTGTGCGTGCGTGTGTGCGCGTGTGTGTGCGTGTGTGCGTGTGTGCGCGTGTGTGTGCGTGTGTGCGTGTGTGCGTGTGTGCGTGTGTGCGTGTGTGTGTGTGTGCGTGTGTGGTGTGTGTGTGCGTGTGTGGTGTGTGGTGTGTGTGTGCGTGTGTGGTGTGTGTGTGCGTGTGTGGTGTGTGTGTGCGCGTGTGTGCGTGTGTGTGCGTGTGTGCGCGTGTGTGCGGTGTGTGTGTGCGCGCGTGTGTGCGCGTGTGTGTGCGTGTGTGCGCGTGTGTGCGTGTGTGTGCGCGTGTGTGCGCGCGTGTTTTTACGAGCCTGCCGAGCCGAGTTCGATTCCCGCTCACGGCCAACACCAAAAACGATTGTCTGAACCGGTCCTGTGCCTCCCCTAGGTCGACTCAGCCTTAAATGGGTCACCTGATTCGGTGTATAAATGAAGGCGGCTTGGCGTGGTGCTGGCTACCCATCCCCTCGTGTGCCGTGCCGGCCTTCATAGGTTGCTACTCGCTCACAGCACTTGCCCCGAAAAGTCTGTTCAAGGCTACACGGGGGATCTTTGTCTTGGGGAGTGGAGAGCCCTGATTTGTAATCAATCATTTGGTGTCTGTGGGTGGAAACGGCGAGGCCCTGACCCCTTCACACTCACGCACGCGCGAATGTAAACACGCGTGCACGCACGGACACGCGCACGCCATCACTCATGCACAGACAAAGATCCCCCAGCCACCCACCACCCCGCTGTGTAGACTTTAACAAGGCTGTTGACGCTTGGGCTGTTAGCGAGCACCTATGCAGCCACTACACACACACACACAAAGATCCCCCGTATAGCCTTAGCAGACTGTAGGGGCAAGTGCTGTTGGCAAGTAGCAACCTATGAAAGCCGGCACGGCACACGAGGGGATGGGTGGCCAGCACCACGCCCGACCGTCTTTGTCTTCCCAGTGGCGATGTTTACACACCGCACCAGGTACTCATTTGAGGCTGAGTCGAGCTTGGGGAGGCCCAGGACCGGTTCAGATAATCGTCACTGGTGTTGGCCGTAGCGCAGCGTAGCGCTAACCGCTACACTACCGCTTCCCACACACAGATACTCACACACACACAGAGACTCGCACACACACAGCGACTCTCACACACACAACCTCACAGCAACAACAACCGCGATTCGCCACTAAGTTGGCGTTGACGTCACCACGGCGCCTGTGCCAGGCCAGGTGCACTTTGAGGCCACGTTTATTGTCGAAGGTTGCTGGCAGGAGGTCACGGTACAAACCCAGGTGGTGCCATAGGTTGACGGACTGAAATGACTGGCCGATGTACCACCCGTGCCCCCTACTGTGCCAGCTGTTAGCGAGCACATATGATGGTCGGCACGGCACACGAGGGGTTGGGTGGCCAGCACCACGCCCGACCGCTTTTGTCTCCCTAGTGGCGATGTTTACACACCGGACCGGATACTTATTAGAGGCTGAGTCGAACTAGAGGAGGACCAGAACCGGTTCAGGTAATCGTCACCGGTGTTGGTCGTGAGCGGGAATCGAACTCGCGTCGCCGAGTTCGTAGCGCAGCGCGCTTACCACTTACACTACCGCTCCCCCACATACAGATACACACAGAATCACACACACAGACACACACAGACACACACACAGACAAACAAAAACTCACACACAGAGATACATACAGACTAACACACACACACAGACACATACAGACACACACAGACGCACACAGACTCACACACAGACAAACAAAGACTCACACACACAAACACACAAATACTCACACAGACACAAACACACGGACTCACACACACACAGACACACACACAGACTCACACACACAGAGACTCACACACACACAGAGACACACACACACAGACCCCACACAAACTCTCTCTCACACACACACAAAGACACACACAAACTCGCACAAACTCACACACACACAGACACACACAGAGACATACACACTCTCTCACACACACACAGAGACACACACACTCTCACACACACACACAGACCCCACACATACTCTCTCTCACATACGCACACAAAGACACACGCACAGACTCACAGACACGCACAGAGACTCGCACAGACTCACACACACACAGACACACACAGAGACACACACACACAGAGACACACACAGACTCACACACAGACTCTCACACACACAGACCCCCCACACACACAAAGACACACACACAGAGACTCGCACAGACTCACACACACACAGACACACACAGAGACACACACACACGCACACACTCACAGACACACACAGACACACACACACACACTCTCTCACACACACACAGACACACACAGAGGCACACACACACACGCACAAAGACACACACACACACGGCACCGAGACTCACACAGACTCACCGGACACCTGAGTCTGGTAGACGCTCACGTGCGAGTCGCTGCCGCACGCCTCGCTCGGCTCGCCGGGGCAGCGCGACGCGGCGCACAGTCGCTCGGCGCGCGGCTCCCGCAGCGCGAACCGCGGCGTCGCCACTCCGCAGCGGCACAGCAGCGGGCCCGCACCCACCACAGCCAGCACCGACTCCTGGGGGCACGCGGAGGAGGAGCACGGGGAGGGGGGGGGGTTGAGGAGGGGGGGGAGGATGAGGAGGGGGAGGAGGAGGAGGAGGGGGAGGATGAGGAGGATGAGGAGGGGGAGGGGATGAGGAGGAGGAGGAGGGGGAGGAGGAGGAGGAGGAGGAGGGGGAGGAGGAGGAGGGAGAGGGGATGAGGAGGATGAGGAGAAGTAGGAGGTTGAGGAGGAGGAGCACGGGGAGGGAGAGGGGGGTGAGGAGAGGGGGGGGATGAGGGGGAGGAGGAAGTTGAGGAGGAGGGGGAGGATGAGGAGGATGAGGAGGGGGAGGGAGAGGAGGAGGAGGAGGGGGAGGGGGAGGAGGAGGAGGAGGAGGAGGAGCACGGGGAGGGGGGTGAGGAGGGGGAGGAGGGGGAGGAAGAGGAGGATGGGGAGGAGGGGGAGGAGGAGGGGGAGGAGGGGCGGAGGATGAGGGGGAGGAGGTTGAGGATGATGAGTAGGGGGATGAGGAGGGGGAGGAGGTTGAGGATGGGGAGGATGGGGAGGAGGAGAGGGAGGATGAGGAGGGGGAGGATGAGGAGGGGGAGGATGAGGAGGGGGAGGAGGAAGTTGAGGAGGAGGAGGGGGAGGAGGGGGAGGAGGGGGAGGAGGAGGAGGATGATGAGTAGAGGTTGAGGAGAGGGAGGATGAGGAGGATGAGGAGGATGAGGAGGGGGAGGAGGAGGAGGGGGGGAGGAGGAGGGGGAGGAGAATGATGAAGAGTAAGAGGTTGAGGAGAATGAGGATGATGATGAATTGGAGGAGGAGCAGGAGGATGAGTAGGAGGGGGAGGAGGTTGAGGAGGTTGAGGAGGAGAGATGAGGAGGATAAGGAGGATGTTGAGGGGAACAACGACCACAGCGAGCGATGTCTGGCTTCGCCGGGTAGGCCGAGCGAGTTCGTCCCCCACCCCCCCCGGGTTCGAGTCGCGACTCGGGGTGCCGCGGCTGGGTCGTGGGTAGCATTGCACGTCCACTCCCGCACCGCACCCCACCACCTGCTCCAGCACAGGGGTCTGCGCCGTGCGGCTGCTGTCGGGGCTGCCTGTGCCGCGTTGTTTATGATTAAGGACCCAACGTCTCGTGTTCATCGCGCGCAATCACGGCTTTCTTGAAGTAGTGACGGGGTTTTTTTGTTGTTGTTTGACCGAGTTCAACAACAACAAAAATGGCTCTTCTTGTGATGTTGGTTGCCGAGCCCTCTGTTCTACAGGGTGTGTGGTGCATCAGAGTCACTGCACTCTGGTCAAAGGCTACACGGGGGATCTTTGTCTTTGCGTGTCCGGGGAAGCGATAGTGTAGCGGTTAGTGCGCTGCGCTCTGGACCCGGCGTCCCACGCAGGCCAACACCGGTGACGGTTATCATGAACCGGTCCTGGGCCTCGACTCATCCTCAAATTAATATCTGGTGGACATCGCCACTGGGGAGACAAAGGCGACCGGGCGTGGTGCGGTCAACCCCACCCACTCGTGTGCCATGCCGTGCTTCAGAGGTGCCGCTCGCTAACAGCACTTGTCCCACACAGAGTGCAAATGCTACACGGGGGATCTTTGTCTTTGTGTACGTGAATGTGCCGTTTGTACGAATTTTCTCCCCCTGTTCTGCGTAGATTTTCCGCCGGGTTCTCTTGACCCCCCCTCCCAAACCCCATAACAAACATTATAAGTCTGGGTGCTCGAATTATTAATAATGCTGTGGGTGTACATGCATTCACACGTACATATGTACTTCAATATTAAAACGAATCAACGTCATTATTTTACCCGGTGAGGCCCACTGAGCTGTAGAGCTCTTTTAGTCAAAATCGACCTCGCCACAAAATGAAAGTTCAACGAAGTGGCCTGTCATGTGGACATTTATAGCAGCCAAGTAATCTAGAAGCACGCTGAAACTAAACGTGGAAGCAAAGACCGGAGGACCCGGAGCAAAAACCACGCGACCACGGGTAATAATATTAATAGTTCAATTTGTAACGCGTGCAAATTTGCAGACGTAGTGGCCGCAACCCAGAGGCGTGGAGCCAAGCTCAGAGTCGCTCAAAAGCATGATTGTAGAGGTGAGTTTTTAAGTGTCTCTTGAAGGAGGCGATTGAGGTGATGCTGCGAATGTGCAGAGGGATATCGTTCCAGACTGTTGGGGCTGCCACCGAGAAGCGGCGCATAGACACAATGACCATCCTGGATCTTGGTATCAAGAGGAGGTCGTGAGTCGCGCTGCGCAGGCATCTGCCGTGTGCTGAGCTGCAAGTTGTCAATAATGAAGAGAGGTACGGCGGGCAGGCGGATATGAAGGCATTGTTGCAGAGGCAGGCGGTCTTGTGTGTGACCCTACTGGCGATGGGGAGCCAGTTGAGAGCACGGAGACAAGCTAGTGAGTCGAGACGGGGATGAGGGTAGAGAGACACCGCAATCTCTAAATATACAGCAGGCATTGTCAGGATCGGGATCGAACCCACGACCTCCTGCATACCAGACGAGGTAGTTAACATCACGACTCTAGGCGACAACCTCATCAGGCGTTCGTCTGATGAGGCTGGTTGTAATGACCAGGTAAGCTGAGCTGCTACACAGCCCTTTTCCAGAAGCGACTCTGGCTATCGCCAATGATAGCTCAACGAAGTGGTCTTATCATCACGTGGACATTGACAAGCAGCCAAATATTCTAAACGCGTGATGTTGAATCTAAGTGTGGATAGGACAAACCGGAGGACGCGGAGAAAAATCCATAGAGAGAGAGAGAGACATGGAAACTCAAAATATACAGCAGGCTTCGATTTAAAGCTTTCGTGACTGCAGGGATTCATCGTCTTGGTTCTTTCGGTAAAGTCACGTAGAAGGGAAGTAATGAAATAATAAAAATAAAACATAATAAAATAATTCTCACGATGTTTCGGCCACAACGCAAGCAGCCGTCCTCAGGTGAAGACCAGGTCTGTCGTCTTTCAGACGCTGTCTCCCCGACAGACCTGGTCTTCACCTGAGGACGGCTGCTTGCGTTGTGGCCGAAACGTCGTGAGAATTATTTTATTATGTTTTATTTTTATTATTGTATTACTTCCCTTCTATGTGACTTTACCGAAAGAACCAAGAAGATATACAGCAGAAGGCGTCAGTTTCGGGCTCGAACCCACGACCTCCTGTACACCTGGCGAGGTAGTAAACATCTCCTCACCACCGTCGCGTCCTCCGGCTCCTCACCTTCTGAGTGCAGAAGTCCACGCAGGCGCCCACAGTGAGGTTGTGGATGATTGCCACGATGGGAAGAGCCAGCGAGAGATTCTCCGGGGTTTGGAAACAGCCGCGGAAGACTGCACTCCCGTCTGCAACACAATTCAAGTTCAAGTTCATGTATTAGGTATAGAGCCCTGTGAGCCATTCGGCTCTTGAATCGGGTGCAATCGCAACAAACAAAAAACATGAACAAAAAAAACATCTTAAAGTGAATATGTGACAATTACACAATGGATATCTAGATTTGAAGTTTTCGTGACTGCAAGGATGTATGCTCTTTTGGGCTTTGTCGGTAAAGTCACGTAGGTGAAAATAAACATAAAAAAAATTAGTTGTTTGCATTTTTATTTTATTTAGATTTTCACCTACGTGACTTTTTCCAAAAATACCAAGGAGTACAAAGCTTACTCTTAGGTTTTTTCGGTAAAGTCACGTAGGTAAAAAATAAAATTTAAAGTTAATAAAAGTAATAATGGAAATATTTTTTTACCTACGTGACTTTACCAAAAAAACCTAAGAGTATGAATCCTTGCAGTCACGAAAGCTTCAAATCTAGAAGTACAAAGCATATCCCCCCCCCACTACCACGTATAGCCCTTTTAACAGATCGTTCGGGCAAGCGCCGTTAGCGAGCACCTATGAAGGCCGGCACGGCACACGAGGCGGTTGTGTGGTCAACACCACGCCCGGCCGCCTTTGTCTCCCTAGTAGCGATGTTGACAAATCACTTGAGGATGAGTCAACCTATCCGCGTCTGTTCATTTCGCGACCGTTCAACATCCAGGTATGCGAGGTGAACAACATCCCTCCAGGACCCCGCTGTGCTCATTCTCCGCGATGTTCACGGTGGGGTTTTTTTTCGTTTGCCCTCGTTTAGTCGCTACTGCTGGCCGCCGTGTAACATAGCCGTGCAATAGCTGTCTAAACGGCAGAATATTCATCATCATCCGTCTAACAACTACACGTGACACGTAAACAACAAACATGTGATGCTGTTATTCTTAGGTTTTTTCGGTAAAGTCACGTAGGTAAAAAATTAAAATTTATAAAAGTAAAATAAAAAAAAATCACGACGTTTCGGAGGCAACATAAGCTTCCGTCTTCAGGTGGAACCGTCACAGCACGATAGCTGTACCTACGTGACTTTACCGAAAAAAACCCTAAGAATATGAATCCTTGCAGTCACGAAAGCTTCAAATCTAGAATGTGATGCTGTTGTTGGATTAGCAGTAGCTTCTTACGGGACTAAATTCATAGGACCGGTCCTAGGGCCTCGATTCGACTACAAATTCACGTCTCGTGGACACGTGGTGAACACCGCCTCTCTGGGGAGACAAATGGCGTATCGGGCCTGGCACGCCTTCAACGGCACGCACCCGCATCCCCTGTCGAACTCAGGAGTTCAAAACATCGTGGGTGTGCGCACCTCCAGTGCAGGGCTTACTCGACTTCAACCGTTCACGGGCGAGAATGATTAGAGAAAAGGAAATTCGCCAAGACTCCCCCCGTTTTACGCGCGAACAGCTCCACAGAAGAGAGAGAGAGAGCGAGAGAGCGAGGCCGTTGCGACACGAGTGCTTTTCATCAAAAGGGGAGATACAAAAAAATAATAATCCAATGAAGAAAATAATCAAATATATATAGAGAGGAAAAAGGGAAAAAGCCGAGGAAATTGGAGAGATTGCTTAAGAGGGGTGAAAAAAAAAATGGAAAATATATTTATATATAGAGAGAGAGAGACAGGAGCGAGCACGCGAGCAGATTTCCAAATCGAATATTACGACGGCAAATTCATGAGCGCGATGTTCCTCGATGGATTTTTATGGCCAGTCCATTGGCCTTCGTAAAATAGCAGGGACGTGAGATGAGAGGAAAGGCGAGTGGGGGGGGAGGCGGTGGGGGGCGGGTTACCGTAATTTACTATAGCGAGGTGTGGGATGGGATGGGGGAAGAGAGAGGGGGGGAGGATGGGCGGGGGGGGAGCACCCGAAGCTAAGAAATTATATCGGTGATGCTGCTGCTGCTGCTCCTGCTGCTGCGTTGGCGGTGACGCGCAGGTAGAATTCACAGGAATAATTAATAGAACAAATCTCTTCCCACCCACCAAAAAAAAAACTAGTGAATAATAACACTGCATCTTCTTGCTTCTTTCGGTAAAGTCACGTAGAATAAAAATAAACAAATAATAAAAATAAAACATAATAAAATAATTCTCACGACGTTTCGGCCACAACGCAAGCAGCCGTCCTCAGGTGGAGAACAGGTCTGTCGAGAAGACAGACTTATTATTTTATTATGTTTTATTTTTATTATTTCATTATTTCCATTCGACGTGACTTTACCGAAAGAACCAAGAAGATAAATCCCTGCAGTCACGAAAGCTTTAAATCGAAAAAGAAAAATAACACTGCATTTGAGTTCACCTAGCCTGGCACGAGCGCCGTGGTGACGTCACCGCCACCACTCAGTGGTGAACGACGGTTGTTGTTGTTGTTGTGCGATGTTGTGTGTGTTTTGTGATGTTACACGTTTGTATGTGTGTATGTTGAACTTCTTTGGCACCGTACCGAGCCAACCGCACTAATCGGAGGTGCGGGGAAAGGACAACAATATTCTTAGGTTTTTTCGGTAAAGTCACGTAGGTAAAAAATAAAATTTAAATCAATAAAAGTAATAATAGAAATAAAGTAATACATCATTCATTATTAAATGATTTATTCTTTTATTTTATTTAAAATTTTATTTCTATTATTACTTTTATTAATTTTAATTTTATTTTTTACCTATGTGCCTTTACCGAAAAAACCTAAGAGTATGATTCCGTGCAGTCACGAAAGCTTCAAATCTAGAAAGGACAAGAAACTAAACACAAAAGCAGTCCTAAACAAAAATTCGTTTTCAATCGAGATTATTTGAAAGTGAATAGCTCCCAGTGACTTCCTAACATCGGAAGGAAGAGCGTTCCAGACGGCCGCAGGAGCGCATCTGAAAGCGCCCGATGCGGTGACCGCCTTTGTTCGATGGCTACACCGCCTCCTCGTGCCTTAAACAGGTGCTCGCTAACAGCCACGTGCCCCCAACAGTGCGCCCGAAGGCTACACGGGGGATCTTATCGTTGTGTGTGCCGGGTCTATCCCCAGAGGTCGCAACCGGGTGCCCGATACCCGTACCCTACCCGATACCCGGCTACCCGTACCGGGTACGGGTACGGGTACCCGTTTGCGACCCTGGTGCGGCTGGGTACGGGTACGGGTAGGCCGTGACTCACTGGTGACTAACTGTTTGTCACTCATTTCCAACGTCTTGTCTCTTCTCACAATTCAAGTTCCTAGAATAAACCCACCCGCGCCTGCAACATGGCTTCATCCCAGAGGTCGCAATCAGGTACCCGATACCCGTACCGTACCCGGCCGGGTACGGGTAGGGTACGGGTACGGCCGGGTACGGGTACCCGTTTGCGACCCTGGTGCGGCCGGGTACGGGTAAGGAATCAAAACCCGTTTGTGACCTCAGGTCTACCCTCAGCATTCTCACCGCGAGCTGCCCCCCCCCCCACCATCACCCCCCCCCCCCACCTTTTTTTCCGAACGACTAATTTATTCTTCGAGTCTCGGCGCATCAATTACGGTCGCATTAGACACTCCATTAATGATACGTCGAGACTCCGCCGAAAAGCCACGACCGGGTTTCCTCGCGTGATGAATGGGTGCTGATAGAACGGACGCATCGCTAACACAAAGATGAACGTGCCCCCGTATAGCCTCCTAAAAGACTGCTGAGAAGGCTGCAACAGAGCACCTGTTAGGGCCTACACGGCACACGAGAGCATCGGCTGGCCGCTACAGGTACTCAGTTGAGGTTGAGTCGACCTAAGGGGGAGGCCCAGGACCGGTTCAGATGATCCTCACCCGTGTTGGTTGGCCGTGAACGGGAATCGAACTCGGGTGGCCGGCTTCGTTACGCAGTGCGCTCACCACTGCGCCACCGCTCCACCATCACGCACGCGCGCGTTGTTGAACAAGCACAAGGCACCCGATTCGTCATTAAACACTGCCTTTTTTTACATAAATAACGCAACAAAAACTTCAATCGTTGAATACGTAAATACATGTTTTCTGAGAAGAAGGGCCGTTGCCCGAAACGTCGCATGTTGTATTGTTTTTATTTCCTGCTCGGGCCACAGTACTATGGACAAACGTGTTGATATATATCAACAAATTTGTCCATAGCACTATGTAACAAAATTTTAATTCCTGGGTAGTAAGTGTTATTTCGTAATTGCTTATGCCTAAAAAGTGTGGAAAATTGCAATTGTCCTCCCCACAAACGTTGCTTTTGTGACCAGGACAGTGATATTTTGAAGTTTACAATGAGAAAACGGGCGAATTTACGTCTTTTCGTTCACATAAAGTCAGAAAAAACCAACATGAATCAAAATTAACATGTATTTATACTAAATACAAAAATTACTACGAAAGATTTAGAAGCGAGGAGTTTTTCGAGATTTACGATTATACTGTAAATCACTTTCACAAATCAGCCGCCACATGTAGTTTCCCATCATGTTCTCGTTATACTGTCCTTGGTAGTGGCGTTCTAAGTCCACAGAGTACTTTTTCGTTCTTGTCTTGATAAATTGGCCGCAGACAGAGCAAAATGCGTCAGCCGGATGCTTGCAGCCTCTTGATGCCATCTCAGATATGTATCCACTTAGGCAGCTGGAACTAAACTGAACTGGTGGGCTTAAGGCCCCTGTATTTATACTACTATTTATATTACTGGAAAGTTCTAGAATGTTCTAGAAGTTACTCCAAGTTTACTCAGCACTGAATCTAGACTGATCTGAAAAATAGGTAAATTTCAAAATATCAATGTCCTGGTCACAAAAGCAAAGTTTGTGGGGAATAAAAGCTATTTTCTGTACTTTTGAGGCATACGCAATTATGAAATAACACTTACTACCTAGGAATATTTTTTTTGTTACACAGTGTATTTTTTGTTAGGTGTACCTGCATATCAAATCCTGATGCAGCAGCAGCAGCGTGAAATAATTAACAGCAGAAATAGTGTATGCATTCGGAGGTTGTGC